TTCTACTACGTCTCAACACCATTACTATATCTTTGAACTTGCTTATTGTTAAACAAATTAATGATTGATTAAAGAGTTGCCTACTTTGTCTCAGGCCTCATTAAACTGCCTACAATCAGAATCTGGATGGTAAAGTTGAAAGTGAGGGCAATGAGGGAATGACAGATCACATGAGGGAATGAGAGTTCATGAGGGAAAAGTTAGTTAAAGGGATAGTTCACTTTGAAATTAATTTTTGATATGTTTTATCTTACCTCAAGGGCATCCAAGATGTAGGTGTCTTTGTTTACACAGTATTTTCAATTTTGATATTTTCAAGTCAAACCGTACTTGTCTGTCAGTCATATAATGGAGGTTTATGGGGTCCACCTCAAAGAGCATGCACAGAGAAGTCCAAATTAAACATGATTTAATGACTTGTAAATGTAAGGCCCGTACACACCAGGACGAATATCAGCGCGCGTTATTCGTCAGCGTTTTTCAACACGTTTTTTGTGTTCACACCCAAGCGATTTTCACTGACGATGAGCCGAGTGAACATGCAAATTCATTACCTGACATTAGACGGCGCCCATTTGCTCTGCATTACCACTCCATAACAGTTCTCTTTTATCAAGATGTTTGTAGTCACAGAATTAATTAACTTTAAGTTAATTAATTAAATTAACGCAAGAATTAATTAACTTTTTTTTTAGTTCACTTTGAAATTAATTTCAAAGTGAACTATCCCTTTAGATTTTACACTTAGATCCATTTGAGTGTTAAAATATATATATATATATATATATATATATATATATATATATATATGTGTTTAAAATATAGTTTGAATTTCAGAACAACTGCAAACAATGTAATTGTAATATCTACTGAGTAATAGGAGTACCAAGGCAGTTTAGGACTCTGTTCGGAGGTGAGCAGTACCTTTGTGTCTCATAACAAACTCAATCCAGAAGAGGCCGCTTTCCAAAGGTTTAACTGACTTGTCTCTGTGCAAATCCGCTATCATTTTGCTGTTTTTATAATAAATAATAACTATTATAAACTAATGTGAAAGTCTGCTTTGCTCATCCATTACCGTTTCAATCAGTGCAGCACGAATCACAGTTCACTGATCGCGTGACGATGGCGGAGGATTCGTTGCGCAACATAGACTAAATGTCTGATAAATGTCTTATCTTTTATAATGCACAATCAGCACCGCTGCTTCCTATAGACGAATCCGACGAGCGTTCTGTGTAGGCTGCCATCTTGTGGCGACGCCATTACTGAGCTGTTACACCGGCATAGACATGTGCACCGGTATGTAAACAAACCTCAGTGATAACGCGAAAGCACCCTCGATGACAGCTACAGCCAGGCAGAATGACTTGTTGGGTTGATGATGTTAGACAGCGGCCTCCAGTCACAGATGAAGGTACAAACGATCTTACAGATTATTTATGAAAATAGCTTGGCAAGTTGGCAAGCTAGCTAACGTTTGCTAACGAGGAAACTATAAAAAAAGATCTGTCCATTTGGCAACAATAAATAAATGAATGAAATCAAATAAACAAATTCATGTTTTTCCTTTGTGTCCATTATTTATCTCATTTTCAAATTGCAACGGGCAAGGGTAAGGTAACGTTACAGCTAGAAAGTATACATAATATCGACCAATTAGTGTTTTTAAACCATGGAAAGAGGTCAATATAACAGCAGGAGAACAATTATGTCGCATAACTTTACATTTAGCTCAGGAAAGCCATTTAATGACCATAGCATGTTAATTGAATAGAAAAAATAGCAAGAGAGGAGATTTTGCTGATCACTATATCACATATTTATTATATTTTTTTTTACTTATATCATTAAATAATTGTTATTATACGCGAATGTCCGCGTCTTGTACTCGCCCAGGAAATCTGTGTAAACCGTACGGCACCAGACAGGGGCAGTCGACCCGGGGTATTCACAGTGTTTTCTCTTCAAAATTGAAATTTTACTGCCACCATTGAAACAATTTATAACGAAACTGTTTACCCACTCGACATTATACAAGGGGTAACGTTGTAACGTTAGTGACAGTCGTAAATCGCGAGCTGTTTAGTGGACGCAAGTTGCAACTAAAACAATAGGAGGCAACAGCTCAGTAATGGCGCCCGCTTTCGTCTATACACAGAGTACGCACGATCACCAATTTGAAAGTAAAATGGCGGCGCACTTGGTGTCACAAAAAAAGCTTTACACAGCCATGCGAAACGTTGTCTTGCCGGTCTTGCGCACCCAACTTGTCATTTTTGCCACGCTTGTGCAGACACGTCGAGTATAAAGGCTTTACTCCATGTCAGCGCGCACTCTGATCGGGTGCACAGACTTCTCCCAATCATCTCCTGCACTCGGCTAACTCCCCCTCTGTTTCCCCAAAGCCCGTCGGTTTCCCTCATAAGCTGATATTAGAGTATTTAAACATTCTCTATGATATATTTTTTTAATGACACATTGTCTCTTTCTCTCTCTCACATATGTAGGCTAGTTATAAACTCTTTATACTTTTAATGAGTAGTGCTTAATTATTAAAGTTTGTGGGTAAGAATCGTGTAAAAAAAGAAAAAAAAAAAAGAAAGAAATCCCTCATTTTGGGAATGTAATCCGGGAAATCTCCCTTATTTTCAATGTTCAATGTTGACAGCTATGCTTTTAATATTGAGAGAGTACTGTAATGTTTTAAGGCTCTGTTTCTGAACTTATAATCGGAACACAAGAAAAAACAACATAGAGACAAACACACCAGCCTCGTTTCTCTCTACCTTCTCCGAACTCGCCGCATTAACCCTATAGCTGCCGGTGCAAAATAAAACAGCAATTTAAAAACAATTATAACAGTCTGTGTGCTAACTTTGATTATGGTTGCACTTGCACTTTTTGTTTGCACTTCAGACTTCAATGAGTTCAGTTACGAGGTCACACACAGCCTCAATCAGAACGTCTGGAAGCACTTAAATGTACAGTAAGGTCTGAAGTGACTCATGTGAAATCAAACAGGAAAAAAGCCAGTCAATAAAAACCTTTTACAGTGCTTGTATATTTTTTCTTTCAATGCATTTGATAATTCATACTCATAAAGTAGACCTGAAATGACATGCATTAATGCATTATTAGTTAAAAGATTGCAAAATTCACCTGCATACAATTTTTTCAGTCATGAATTTTGTCTTTGAGGATTTCTGAAAAATTGTGCAAAAATCTTGTTTCGTCTCGTTCTCGTGAACCCAATCTCGTGTCTGGTCTCGTCTTGTGAGATAAGCGTCTCGTCACACCCCTACTCTTTTGTGTATGCACATAAGACAGATTTCCATTGTGTTTTGGCTTGTGTACATTGTGTTGTTTAAATTTCATGTGTTGTGCACTACTGGGCCCCCTCTTTCACCTCACGTACTATGGGTAAAACATAGGCCTACTCCAGTTTGAGAGCCACTGAATTAGATCATCTTCTCATACACATGTTCCACAATAGCCTATTGTTATTGTTTTTTGTTGCATTATTGCAAAAAGACAATGGTTGTGTACTATTAGTTTATTTATTTACTGTATTTCAACAGGGACAATATTCAAAAACATTAATCAAAGATGCTTTGCACCAGATTTAGCTTAAGCTAGTTTATGGTGACCAACAGTCCTGTTTTCCCATCACATGTCCTGCTGGGAAAGATCAGCTCTACAGCAAAATATAGATGGAAAAACAAGGAGGATGAGGAATAAAAACAGGATAAAGAGGAAGAAAACTGAAGATATAAATATATTTTGTTAGTTCGTTTTTGTAAGTTTGTGAGAGCTATTTTTGTTCAATTTGGAGGTATTTCTCTTAGTTATTTATTATTTATAGATTATTTATTATTATTTTTCTAATACAGAAGAGACATTATTTCTATCATTTTTTCATTCATTATTTTTGAAACCTGTCATAATAAAACATATTGAGTAACCTCTGAAAAGACTACAGTATCTGAATTTGTGTCTTGTACTATATAAGTTTCTGTCCATAGAGGAGGCATAGCCTACTTTAAATGTATTGAAATTAATAAGGCATCTTTGAGTAAACTTGGAGTATCATTTGAGTATTTGTTTGCCAGGCCGAATGTCCTGGTTTTTGGTAATCAAAATATGGTCACACTAAGCTAGTTTCCATCTGTAGTCCCTGCAGGTGAATTAAAATACAAAATATCAGTATAAGTAAATCATACCAAAATTACTACAATAAAACATCACCATACGTCATATTTACATACATAATTGTCTATGCTGACACGACTGGTTTTCCACTACTACTTTCCTTGTATTGTGAGAAAAATCCTTCAGGTCTAAGGTAAGTTTCAGACTCTGTGGGAGTTTGTTCCATTCTTTGATGCCTTTAAATGAGAAGGCGGTCTGTGCAAAGGCCGAACCACATTTAGGCAGTCTGCAATCATTGCAACTCGGGGACCTGGTACTCCTAGTCATCTGTTCAGAACAAAACTGGACAAATGTTTTTTTTTTTTTTTTTTTTTTTACCGGAGAAGGCGCAATATTATTCAAAACTTTAAAAACTAATCGCACATTAGCATACACAATTATATTATCAAAGTTTAACATGCTGTATTTTTCAAGAATCAGACAGTGATGATATCTCAGTGGCTTTTTGTCTAATACTTTAACAGCCAACTCACCGCACACTGAAGGAATATCATTTATGTAAATCACAAACAGCAATGGCCCAAGAACAGAGCCTTGTGGGACACCCATGTCATTAGCCTTAGATGTTGATAACTTGCTTTTGACTCTTACGCACTGGACACGTAATGGTTAAAATGTTCAGTGAATGAAGTTTGTAAACCCTTCTTTCTGCATAATTGTACCTACATTTAGATCAGACCTTCATCTAAGGCCTATAAAATAAGATGAAGAGAACCCATTTAGACAAATTACACACACACAAAGGAAGTTTTTAGTATGGAATGTACTGTTTGGTTTTTGCCACACCATTTAAGTTAGATTTAGACCTCATATAGGTCCATTTGTAAAAGTTTCAAGAAACTTTCCTCTGTTTAAAGCATGTGGTCAAAAAAGAAAAAAAAAATCTCTATAATGGGAGATGGATGAAATCATTATTCCATAATTGTATATTAGTTATTATAATTGTACAAATGTCACTCAGTTTTCCTTTTTCTACTGCAGTACTTGACACACAAATATCGAACTGCTAAAAATATAGATAGAGTGAATATCAGAACAACTGCAAACAATGTAACTGCAACATCTACTGAGTAATAGGAGTACCAAGGCAGTTTGTAGGACTCTGTTCGGAGGTGAGCAGCACCTTTGTGTCTCATTACAAACTCAATCCAGAAGAGGGCGCTGTCCAAATGTTTAACTGGCTTGTCTCTGTGCAGATGAGAGAGTCTCTGCATAGTCAGTCTGTAAGATGGTTCAATGATTACTTCCTGTATGGCTGCATGCAGTGTGTTCTTGTTTAAAGTTGAGATGGAGAGTATCTTGGCTCCTCCTTTGTCTTGCAAACGAAGAAGATTGTCGTACTGGTCAAAAAAGAATGGAATTCCAATCACTGGAATACCATGGTACAAAGCTTCTTGAACCCCATTGGTTCCACCATGTGCAACAAATACTTTAGTCTTTGGATGCCCTAGAAGATCGTTCTGTGGCATCCAGTCAACCAATAATGTGTTGTTCCCCAAAGTAGATGGTCTCTTTCCAGTGTATTTCCAAATTACCTTTTGCGGGAGCCGAGCAAAAGCAGTAGCTATTTCTGCTGTAAAATCATCTGGTAGGGCACTGATAAACGACCCTAAAGACATGATGATGACTCCGTGCTCTCCAGAACTTTGCATGAAGTCTTCCAGATCATGTGGAAGGGCCTTCGCTGGTTTACATTGAAAGCCTCCAATGTAGATAACATTTGGCATTGTTGGACGTGGAAATTCAAAAACAAAATCAACCCTCATGAGCCATATATCAGCCCCCTGGAGAAGTTCATAATAATTTACGGGAGGATGGAAATATTTATCACAAAATGTTTGGTATAGTGGCAAATTAAAACGGCTGTTCTGAATGTCCATTAGCAAATAGAAGAAAGCGTTTTTTACTCGTTGGAAAAAGTTCATCTTGTCAGTGTTTCCAGATCCTGTAATAGGGATGTAAGACATTGGAGAGGGAGCGATGTCAAAGTGTCCCTCACCAGTAGTGGTCCATCTCACATTATATACCATGGGTAACTTGAGTTCATGAGCCAGGAGAATGCCTGCACCCCATGCCGGATCCGTAAGCATCAGATCATACTGCTTTTCCTTCAGTGTCTTCAGAATCTCTGCACTTTCAAATATGTTTGTTATAAGCTGACATATCATTTCATGCGTTTTATGAATAGCTTTGAATACATATGAATATAGCTGTACAGTGCTCAGCTGGCTCTTTCCTCTTTCATAGTCGATCATTTTGAAGAGCATATCATCTACAAATTCTTCATCCATTCCTTTGGTGTTTGGTATGGTTATAGAGTTGTAATAAGTTGAATTCTCCTTTACGAACCAGCTATTGAAGGTACGTATTACATCAATGCTGTGCCCTTGACCATGTAAAGCCTTGATGAGGATGTCCATGTTCACCCAGTGACTTCCCTCCACAGGCGCCACCAAGATTTTGCCCCCATCACAGAGAGAACCAAAAACAATTACGACTGTTATCCAGAGAGAGACAGAAACCATGTTCTTAGAAAATGGTGTCATATTGCCTGTAAATGAAACAATAATTGGATTACAAAATTTGTATAATAGTATATTATTATATGTTGTTGACACTGTGCAGTAGAGATGACATTTTATGAAAGGCACACTTTTTTCATCCAGGACCTGCCTACTCAGAGTGAGAAAGGCAGGTAGAATCATTACAAATATTCTATGAGAGAACACAAAGTTTCTCAGGGGAACTCAATACATTGGGGAATAGAACATAAAAGTTTTGTGAGAACACAAAAATATTATTTTTTAATAATATACAATATATTATTGAAATATATATAATATATAATACATACGTAATAAGAATAATTCTCTTTTTATTATTATTATTATTCTCTTTAATATTAATCACATTTCTAATTAATCAATCATGCATTAATGTGTTTTTTATACATTTTTTTAACCAATTGTACTAAATGGACCCATGTTTTTTAATAATAAATTATTAATAATAATTACTATGCATGCAGTATAATGTGTTATTTGCTTCTTGTGCTTCTGTTCAGTTTAGAATTTACTGCATCCTAGTTAGTCTCTTTGCTTTCTGATTACATTAAGCTGTCTATCATTAACTTTCCCTGTGTATTTATACTCCTTGTTTCATTTAGTTTATTGTCGGTACACATATTTCATGAGTAGTTAGTGTGATTGTGGCGAGCAGGCAAAGGACGTGAGAGAACGGCGCGAGGCCAGTGGCGTGAGTGATAATGAATGACAGAGGCATTCCCAGGCCAGCCGGGAGACATAGTCCATCCAGCGTGTCCTAGGTCTTATCTCCTCCCAGTGGGACATGCCCGGAACACCTTACCGGGAATGCGTCCAGGAGGCATCTGGAACAGATGCCCGAGCCACCTCAGCTGACCCCTCTAGATGTGGAGGAGCAGCAGCTCTACACTGAGCTCCTCCAGAGTGACAGAGATTCTCACCCTATCTCTAAAGGATTTCCCTGCCACCCTGCGGAGAAAGCTCATTTTGGCCGCCTGTATCCGGGATCTTGACCTTTCGGTCGTGATTTAAAGCTCATAACTGTAGGTGAGAGTAAGAACATAGATTGACCTTCTACACCACGTCAGACCGGTACATCGACCGCATTACTGCAGAAGCTGCACCGATCCGTCTGTCAATCTCCCGTTCCATCCTTCCCTCACTCGTGAACAAAACCCCAAGATATTTGAGCTCCTCCACTTGAGGCAGGAACTCTCCACTGACCTAAAGTGAGCAAGCCACCCTTTTCCGACTGAGGACCATGGCCTCTGAATTGGAGGTGCTGATTCTCATCCCAGCCGCTTCACACTCAGCTGCAAACTGTTCCTGTGCTTGCTGAAGGTCCTGGTCTGAAGGGGCCAACACGACTACATCATTCACAAATAGCAGAGACGAAATCGTGTAGTCCCCAAACCTGACACCCTCCGGCCCCTGGCTGCTCCTAGAAATTCTGTCCATAAAGTTTATTAACAGAACCGGTGACAAAGGGCAGCCCTGCCAGTGTCCAACATGCACTGGGAAGAAGTCTGACTTACTGCCGACAATGCGAACCAAGCTCCTGCTTTGGTCATACAGTGACCGGACAACCCTCAGCAAAGGAACCTGGACCCCATACTCCCGAAGCACCATCCACAGGCTGCCACAAGGGACCCAGTCAAATGCCTTTTCCAAATCCACAAATCACATGTGGATTGGTTGAGCAAACTCCCATGAACCCTCCAGCACCCCGTAGAGGGTATAGAGCTGGTCCAGTGTTCCACAGTCTGGACGAAAACCGCACTGTTCCTCCTGAATCCGAGATTCATTTGTGTATTTATTTATTTAAATTGTTGAACGTTCACCGGTTCCCGCCTCCTTCTTCCCATAACATCTGAATCCCATTACAGTGATATTTCTCTGTGCATATACCTGTTTATTCTCTCTGTGTTCATTAAAGTTATTGTTTGATATTCTGCGACATGATTCTTCTACCCTTACGAAAAAAATACATTTCAAGTTCATTTTATTAGTATACTTAAGTAGTGTTCAAGTATATTTTATGAAGTAAGTATACCATTATCAATGTACTTTTAGTAAACTTGAAAGTGTATTATTTCAACACTTCTTGGGACCAAATCGGACCAACTTTTAAAGTATACATTTAAGTGTACAATAAGCATTGTTGGGTGTCACTCATTACAAGTAACTAGTAAAGTAGAGAACTACTTTTAAAACTTACAAAAAATATCTGAGTTACTTTTTCAAATAAATAACGATACTAAAGTAAATAATGGTACTTTCTTTTACTATTTATTGACTGACAGCTCTCCTGTCCCCAGACATTTCTAGACTAAATGTGAGCATCATTTACTTACAAAAAAGTTTCAATATTCCTCAAAATGAATAAAATCAGTGAAATGCCTTATCATTGTACCATTGTTATTGTGTGTGTGGGCGTGGTCACTCATCACTACCGCTGATCGGCAGCGCCAGCTGCACATCATCTACAGCGCCAACTGCAATTGATCAGCAGTGCCTATATATGCTCACTGTTTGTGTCTTGTCAGTTTAAGATCATTGTGATATGTTCCAGTGTTGTTCCTGTTCCTGTCTGGTCTTCGGTTGTGGTCTCTGTCCCTGTCTTGGATTGTTTGTCGTGTCTTCCCACCTGTTTCATCATCTGCATTCTCTGGATCTGGATTCTTCTTGTCATCAATCATCACCTTCAGTCCGGTTCCATCGAAGTCCCTGCGTCACATGCCCATCCCTGTGTTTGTCATTCTTGGTGTGGACCTGACCTGGATAGTTTATTATTTTAAATAAATGTGATTATACCTGCTCTTGCCTTCTCTCTATTTCTCTGCATGACAAATGCATTACTTTTCAAAGTAACTTTCCTCAACATTGACTATAAGTGTAACAGTAGTGAACTAAGAGCACAACTAACAACCCGGAGGGAGGTGACGTGGAAAATACACATATGAACTGGGCGGGAGACCAGGCAGTCTAAAATATGGAATGTCACTGGGGTCTCTCCTGCCAAGCAGGGGGGAGACAACATCAATAGAGTGACGGCAGAGGAACTGCCAAGGGAAAGACACAAGCTCGGCAGAGGAACTGCCAAGGGAAAGACACAAGCTCGCCGTAGGGAGATGTACTGTGGAAATACACATATGGGATCACCGTAGAGATCGCAACATATGGGCCCCAGCCTAGCACAGGTTCTACACTGCTTACAAGTGGTAGGCCTAACACCGGACGCTCCGCTGAGTCCGATGTCGAAGGGGTGCGGAGGAACTCGACAGGGTTCGGGCAAGGGGAACACAACTGGAGTAAGAATGGCGAATGTATCCGGTCCGTAGGAGGGGAATGGCGCAGCAAACCGACACAGAACCAGGGCTCACAGTGTTGCTGGCTTCTATGAGTAGAGAGCACACGGGAAGCAACTGGATGTACACGTAGGGTATAAAATTTAGCAAACGTATTAGGTGTCGCCTAGCCCACAGCTCTACAAACATCTGTCAGTGAGGCACCCTGCGCCAACACCCCTTGTGGAGTGAGTCCAGGAGGGACAGGGTTCACCTTGGGACTCATACGCCAAGATGATGGCATCCACTATACAGTGGGCCAACCTCAGTATGGAGACAGCCTTTCCCTTATGTTGGCCTCCTTAACAGACGAAGGGCTGCTCTGAGGTCCTAAAGCTTTGTGTTCTGTCCACGTATAGGCGCAGAGCTCGGACGGGACAGACAAAAGCCAGGGCTGGGTCTGCCTCCTCTGGGAGTAGTGCTTGCAGGTTCACCACCTGGTCTCAAAAGGGAGTGGAAGGAACCTTGGGCACATATCCAGGCTGGGGTCTCAGGATAAAGTTAGCCGGCCCAAATTCCAGGCACCGAAAATGCATGCAAGTCCCCTACCCTCTTGATCGAGGCCAAAGCAAGCAGGAGAACTGTCTTTTGGGACAGAATTTTTAACTCTGCTACCTGCAAAGGCTCAAAGGGAGGTCTCTGCAGTGCGGTTAGGCCACAATCTGTCGCGAGAGCTCGAGGCAGTTGATGTGCCAATGCAGGTGTGACCCCATCCAGGTGTCAGCTACTTGCATGCCCATTGTACGTGACCCCCCGGCCGGTGATGGAGGCGTTTGCGTGCCGCTCTGCCACGCCCACCTCGGGATTCACTCGTGAAGCCAGTGCTGGAGTGGTCTCATGTGAAGCAAGCCGAGCGGCGTAACTGCAGCTGCAGCTACCATATGCCCCAGGAGCCTCTGAAATTGTTTCAGTGGAACCACAGTACTGCTCTTGATGACATTCAAGCAGTTCAGCACCGACCGGGCTCGAAACTCTGAGAGGCACGCCGTGTGTTGGACCGAGACCAGCTCCAAACCGAGAAAAGAGATCCTCTGCATGGGGGCGAGTTTTGCTCCCAGTTGACCTGAAGACCCTACTGGCTGATGTGCTGAATCAGCAAATCCCGTTGTTTGCACAACTGCTCTCGAGACTGAGCTATTATCAGCCATTCGTCGAGATAGTTGAGGATGCGAATGCCACGCTCTCTCATGGGAGCGATGGCTGCCTCCGTGACCTTCGTAAAGACAAGGGGAGACAGGTCCAGCCCGAAGGGTAGGACATTGTACTGATATGCCTGACCCTCAAACGCGAAGTGCAGAAATGGTCTGTGCCGCGGCAGGATGGAGACATGAAATTATGCGTCCTTCAGGTCGATCGCTGCAAACCAATCTTGTGGATGGATGCATTGGAAAATGCACTTCTGCGTGAGCATTCTGAACGGAAGCTTGTGAAGGGCCCGATTCAGGATACGCGCAGTCGAGTCATCATCTCCAGAACTCCGCTCTCCCTCCGATGCTGCAATCGGCGTCCTGCCCTCTAGGGAAGCCACGAGTGAAACCGCCGGTCCATCCATTACAGATGGAACAGCAGGAAACAGAGGCGGCTCCAGCGGTTGCAGTGGAAAGGAGTCCATGGGGAATGGTTACCGGGCAGAGCATCCAGCACTACACTCCGGTCACCCATCCCACACGGCACCCGAAGGTGGGGCGTGGTAATGGGGACTCTCGCCCTCAACACTGCAACAGTCATATTCTCACAGTGAATGTCCACAAAAGCTGCCTCAGCGTGCTGTAACCCCAAACACGTGATCCAACAATTGTGACCGTCGGAGAGCGACAGGGAATGACCGCATACAGAAACGCACGGGCGGAATGACATCTTGAGAAAGACGCAAACGCACCTGTGTTGCTCTTTTAGAAAGTGAAAAAGCTCTCACCAGTGCCGGAGGACACAGGGGAATGACTGACACAGGAATGGTGCACCCTGTGTCAGTGAAGCTTTCACTTTTTCGCCCTCCGGCCGTCAAAACACACACACAACACAGAAATTGCTTGCCGTCAGAACAGCCGTTGAGAGCTGAAAGCTCGCGATCACCACTGCACTGCACCGTGGGGTGGAGTGAGATGCATCTCACACTCCAATGTGCATTGGCTCGTTCAATAATACTCGAAGACAATAGGCTCACCTGAAGTGATCCCATTTCAGTCGACTGTTGACTACTTCTGACATTATCGACTGAAAGGGATCCAACAGTACTACTGTAGAACCAAAAAAAAAAAAAAAAAAATAGCAAAAAGCTGTTTAGTAATATATGAACGTGTCTAAATGTGCATCATAGTACAAAGGACATTTTCAAACAAATAATATATAGTATTAAATTAAATATAAAAAACAATCCTGACCTGCAAGCGTCACACACATTTAATTTTTAAAACTGTTGTAGAAAACTACAGACAATCTCTGAAATAATGCAAATGTCACATTTATTTTGTTGTTTTAATTCATAGACAGTAGATAACTTACGGTTAAATATTTTCAGTGCTGATATCTTTGTCTTGGCATGTTACTATGTCTGTCTTTGGCAAATTTCTCCTTAAGCATTGCAACTTATCAAATACAGCGAGCAGCCCACAGCGTTAAAGTTCAAAGTACATAGTTTATTTGTGACAAAATCTACAGTATATGGCACAGATATTTTAAAGTGCACACTTTTACTTGATGTGCTAGTGATATCAATTCTACAAAGAAGAATTTCAACTACTTTTCAACACTGTGACTATATCTGTGCACACTTGCTTATTATAAAGCAAAATAACTATTGATTTAAGAGTTCTTTGTCTCAGTGGTGCCCATTTAACTGCCTGCTATCAGTATCTGGACTATGAACTTGAGAGAGAGCAAAGAGGGAAAGAGAGTTTACATGAGGTAATGAGAGATCACGCAGGGGAGTGCATGAACTCAAAAGGAATTAAATCTGAATTTTGTGAACAAAGACAGAATGCCACATGCACAGGCAAATGTCTCAATAAAAAGTTGGTATGATTAAATCATACGCATCTTTTTTTTTTTTACATAATTACAGACAGACATGGTTGTGTAATGGTTGGAGATGACATGTTCTCAGGATATGTATAAAAGGGTTTTAGTAAAAAATGCACAGACTGTGGGAAAATTCAATAAAACATATGGCAACATGCAATTTGAATAGAGTTTCAAAGAGGAACAAATATTTTTGCAAACTTTCTGCTGCAGCATGTGATGCACATAAAGTTAAATATATGGAGAGAGCGAACATCAAAACAACTGCAAACAATGTTATTACAATGTTTGTCAAGTAATTTGAGTATCATAGTGTGTAGGACTCTACAGAGGTGAACATCAACTTTGTCTCATTAAACAAACAATCCATAAGAAGATCTGATATAACTGAGTACAGGGTTATGAAATGCATTTTCTGAATGCTTGGCTAAAGAGTCTTCTTTAACTGTTGTAGAGGATAAAGTAACAGTACATCCTTCTGAATGTATGTGTTTTTGGTCCAATAAGTAACACCCCAGTCTTATCTGAATTAAATAAAACGAAATTACAGGTCATTCAATTGTTTATATCTTTAACACACTCTGTCAACCTGGATAATACAGAGATCTGGTCGCGATAAAATATATAACTGAGTATCATCAACAGTCGAAACTAATGCCATGTTTTGTTATAATATTAGCAAGTGGCAGCATATACATTGAAAACAGCAGAGGGCCTAACGCAGATCCATGCCTGAATACTGGTGTAATAATTTTAATGTCGATCTAAGATTATTTTATGATCTATATATTTTATGATTTTTTGAATGCAGCACCAAGATCAAGAAAAACTAGTATAGAATTACAGCCTTGGAAGCTCGAAGGAAGATTTGTCATTTTAATGAGTGCAGTTCCTGTGCTATGACGGGGCCTATGTATCCAGACCCTTTTCTAGTATTGTAGACAAGAGATTTGAATGGGTCTGTAATTTGCTAATTAATTTGGATCTTCATAACTTCCAATTTGAAAGGTCTTGGTGTCTATTTATTAATCTAGCCACTGTACTAAACAAGAACCTTGGATTGTTTGGGTTCTGAGTTTGTGGATATGCTTGGCCCTGCTGCTTTTAGAGCCTTTTTTATAATGGGAACTGCTGTCTTTCCGTGCAATTGTGAAGACCTCTAAATGAGTCTCCATTTGCGCTCTAGATTGCAAGTTTCTCTCTTGAGAGAGCGAGTTATACTCTTGTATCATGGTACAGTACTTTCCTCATAACCTTTTTTAAGCTGATTGGTTCAACAGTTTCTAAGGTACCAGAAAAAATGGTGCCCATACTGCTAGTCATTTCCACAAGTTATACTACCACCATCAAACAGGGAACCAGATTTAGCCAGAAACAAGATGTCAGTAATGGTCTCAAGTTTAAGTGATCCCAAGTTCAGTGATCCTAGTGGTCCCAAGTCCTATAGAAACTTGCATGTACTTCCTGAGAAATATAAAGAGAGAGAGCTTTCTTTTTGCATTTCTATTCTATTCACTGGTAGAGTGGCCACACACCTCAACATCGATTATGTGTCTCCCTCTGGTGGTGCAATATGTTCCCGGTGGTCTTCTTGGCCATGTTGGTCATGTTAGGGCATGTTCCAGCAGCAGCTCTTATAGTTTTTTGGTCAGATTTACCTTTGAGAGTCCTTATGTCGTGCCTTTTCCTCATCTCATCAACAGGATTTACCTTTGGATGCATATTGACACTTTCTAGTTTAGAGATGACTGAAGCCAACTGTCTGCAGGGTGAGTGTTGCCCTGTCCCATTATGTTTATTCCCTTATGTAAGGGTATTGCCCTTTCTTTTATCGGTCTTCACCAAAGCATAGGGTGAAGTTCTCTTATTTATGGCATCATATTAATAAGGGAGATGGGGTTAGTAGTTACAAGGGCTAAATAATGTTTTGAACCAAAAATCCAATTAATTCTTCTTTCTAACAATGTTTTATACTGTGTGTGTATATATATATATGTGTCTGTGTGTGTGTGTGTGTGTGTGTGTGTGTGTGTGTGTGTGTGTGTGTGTGTGTGTGTAGTAGCTACATTTAAAAACAGGGCTGACCAAAGTGCTGAACAATAGACACTATATATGAAGAGTTCAGATGCAAAAACCTCTAAGTGCCATTTGAAAATTTCTTCTATAATGATCATTTTTATCAAGCTTGTATATTTGAGTTCAGTAATTTCACTTAAATGGCAATGATAATTACCTATTAATTGTTATTTAAGTGAAATTACTGAACTTAAATATACAAGTTTGATAAAAAATTATCATTAAAGAAGAAAATTTCAAATGGCATTTAGAGGCTTTTGCATCTGAACTCTTCATGTACAATATATATATATATATATATATATATATATATATATATATAACAAGGACAAACCACACATTCATGACATAATATCACAATGAATTAAAACTTAAGAAAAAAAAATTGAGCAGCTCTGATATAAACCACAACCTAGGGCCAGCAATCGCAAATGCAGTGTCCCCTCTATTCTTTAACCCTGGTCTGGGGACAGACAAAAGTCTCTGATCACCAGACCTCAGGTTTCATGTGGGATTGTGTGGATGGAGTAGCTCAGAAAAATAGCTTGGTGCCAGATTATTTACGGATTTAAAAACAAATAGAAGAATTTTAAACTCAATTCTAAAATGCACAGGTAGCCAATTCAGGGATTTTAAGATAGGTGAAACATGATCAAATTTACGTTTTCTTTTGAGGCACTTTGACGCAGCATTCTGTACTAATAGAGTGTTAGGGTATGCCATAGTAAAGAGAGTTGCAATAATCCAACCACAATGTTATGAGAGCATGGACAGCAATCTCTAAGGTTTTCTCAGTGAGAAAGGATTTGATATTAGAGAGAAAACATTAATGAAAAAAAAAAAACAAGAATCACCACATTTATTTATTTTAATTATTATTATTTTATTTATTTTTATTTTTTTTCAAATTTGAGGTTCTGATCCCAGATAACATTTTTAATGCAAGATGAAGTTGGATAAAGATAATCCAAATCAATGTTACTGCTTTTAGTTGCCATGGGGGCCAAAGACTAACCTCAGTTTTGGATTCATTCAAACAGTACAATAACAAGTTAATATATATATATATATGAAGAGTTCAGATGCAAAAGCCTCTAAATGCCATTTGAAATTTTCTTCTTTAATGATGATTTTTATCAAACTTGTATATTTAAGTTCAGTAATTTCACTTAAATAACAATAAATAGGTAATTATCATTGCCATTTAAGTGAAATTACTGAACTTAAATATACAAGTTTGATAAAAAATCATCATTAAAGAAGAAAATTTCAAATGGCATTTAGAGGCTTTTGCATCTGAACTCTTCATATATATATATATATATATATATATATATATGCCTATATACACATATGTGTGTGTGTGTCAAGTTAAACAGTCTAGTTGTATAAACTGACTGATCACTGCAACTTGCTTTCACTGGCATAAGGTATCATTGTTTCTCCTGTAGACAGAGTGGGAATGACTCTCCAGAATAGACATTTAAAATTGATACACAGGTTAAAATGTAGTAATTTTCCTTTTTGTAAAGGGAAGTATGATTAAAAGGAGATATGATTAAATTCCTCTAGTTCGCTTCAGCCTGATAATTACGAATTGCTTAATCGAAATGTGTTCAGTTTTGCAATCCAACATTTCAAAAGCTAGGCCTCTTGTGGTAGTATGCCAAATTTCAAAACCTATAACTAGATTTTTCTGACTATTATTTAATTTACAGGGTTTGGCAATAATTGTTGCCAATAATTGACCCCTGTGTGACACTCGGTGATGATGAGCACCAGTGGCCACGTGACCAAACCACAAAAAAAAAAAAAAAAAAAAAAAAAAAAAAAAAATCCTCCCACTCTCATGTGCGACAGGAGATGGCAGTATAGACTCACTAATTAATTGGTGACCAACAGTATGGCATTTATATCCCAGATTAAACTTCCTTTTTACAGCAAATGCTCATGCCATATTACTTGCCTTTTCTTGGAACATATTGAAAATGCAAGAGACCAGAACTTTATAGTGTTACTGATACTGATAAAAATCCTGTTTACAAGCTCTTGAATCTTTTAAGAATAAGCATCCAATAATCATTGATATATTAATCAAAGCAATTCAGTTACAGATACTGAAGTACAACATTGTTTTCTGATAGATTCCAGGAAATAGTGGCTTTATTGGAAATGAGCAAGCAGACATGGTTGCAAAACAAGTTCTTGCAGAAAGAATGCCAAATCCCACCATTGGACATAAATCCCTTAATTAACCTATACAGTAGTCAACATTTGAAGTGGATCAAAAAAATTAATCAAAGTTGTCAAGACAAGAACGGGTGCAAAAATCATGTAAAACTTTGATGAAAGGTTTTGATCCACTTCAAATGTTGGGTAACACTATAGTTGAAGGGGTGTGCATAAGACAGGCATGATATCTTCATAACCATGACATATGTCATGAATATGAAATAGGGTTT